GCTATCTAGATACCCTTTCGCGAGGGCACTCCTTTTGCAGCGCTTAAAGCTTCACGCATTTTTAGTAGCTCCTGCCGAAACACAGCAGTTAATAGCTTTACAAAGTCGCCAAGGAACACATATTGTCTTCTACATTATTAAAGATGGGAGCTAAATTCCCAAAACCATTAAACTTGGACCTTGCACGTTCTCCTTCTTACGACAGAACAATCACCATGAAAACAAGCCTGGTCTTGGTCCTGTTCGTGCTTGGACTCCTGTGCCGTAAGTGGTTGTTTATTTTAAGGCCGTATATGCCTCATGAGCACGTGGTCTTGAACGAAAAGCCAGCGTTAGAGAACTGGAGAAAACAAAAATACCACGAGATGTCTATGGGAGAGAAAGCCACTTTGCCTCAATCAAAGCAAATGAAGTTAAATAATGCATGTTAGTGAAAGTTGATTATAGTAATATAAAGCAGTTCAAGTGAGCGCTGATTTACTAAAAAATAAGCGCTAAGCATCGATGAGCACACAGATGAAGAGAACAAACAAAAAACTGGCGCCATAATAGCACCCGTCTTTGGCCTACCCTCTCTTTTTTTGTGTGCTCGTTGATGTTTAGTGCTCATTCTTCTTGTGATCATGGATAGCCAACTAAATCGACAGTTTGTTCTGCTAATGTATTAAGGTAATTATGAAAATCTAATTCATGTGACTTAATTGTGTGACAAGTGCGACTTTATTAGCGAGAGTTAATGAGTAATAGAAGTGTAAACTTAGGGGCTCGTTTTCTTTCTTAGATGCAATATTAACGAGAACTAACAGACACTGACGGCAAGGAAAGTACAGGCGATGTTATTAGAAGTAATTGCAACGTAAACGTGAAGAAACAAAAATGGACGGAAAGATAGCTTGCCACCGACAGGGACCGAACAAATAGTTCTCGTAAATTGTAAAAGTTAATTAAAGTTAATTATTGTGCGTCGGACGTCGATATAAAATGCACAGTAAAATAGGCACGAGTTGTCTTCGAGTCGCCTTGGTCAAATGCATAAGGGAGCCTGTGAACTTTCTTTCTCAAGGTACTTTCTTGACTACGATCGTCATAAAACTATAGACCCGCTAGAGACCAATGATGTCGGTGCGAAAGAGCACAAAACCTCTTGGCCAACCACGCATTCTGTGAAGCGTTCTTTAAAAAAAACAACAACAAACACATTCAGTTCAGTGCGATAAAAATTGTCACTAGTTGATGTGAACAACTTTTTAAACATTATCTTGTGGTCTGTGCGTGTATGACTGTGCCAAATTATAATACTAACAAGGGGATTAATAATTTAAATCCAGGCTGACTTTGATGCTATTCGTCCTTGGACTGCTGCGTCGTATTCAGGGGTCTCAAACACGCGGCCGGCGGTCTTATCGCTATAATGAGCCGTGGCTTCATTCGGAATAAAGTTTCTTCACTACCATGTAGTACTCAGTACAGTTGATAGGTGGGTTGATTCCGAGATAAAAAAGTAAGGTTGGCGCACAAACAAGAGCACTTTGAGTCCCGATCATTCTCCCGTTAGCATGCGCTGCCAATTCGTCATAACAAATAGCACTCGCATTATTTTCTTGCTATATTGTAATTAACAACGATTACTCCGGGTAAGCCACAGAGACTGGACTGGTCTCAAGCGTGGTTTCTTTCGTAAATCAGCCCGTGCGGTCACCATGGGCTGAAACAACACCGTGCAACGAAAACTGGGCGCCGCCGAATTGGCGTTTTAGATTTTAGCGATTGTGGAAATCCGCATCTATATGTTTCTCGAACCTGACGTCTAATACCCTTCAGAAACTGCCCATATACGTGGAATATGATAAAGACGTTCTATCAAACGGACACTTCACATAACCATATTGAATCTCTACAATACCTCCACCTACCCCCCCCCCTACCCCCCCTGCTTCCACCATATTCACTGTCCCACCGCTGTAGGGCTAAATTTATTGACTGCGGCTCCCTAGCTGAGGCGAGTTTGAGCCCCTCGTAATAAGTGATTATTTATTAGCATGCCATAAAATGAATGTCTTGCGAGATTGTGTGTGTGCGTCCATGCCAACATCTGACCTTGTTCAGTGCAACAGTTCATGAATGCCAAATGTAGCCCACAAGCGTAGTTCTTTGCTAATATATTATGCGAAATATAAAGAACACTGGCAACGAGTTCAAAAACATTTGTCAATGTGCAAGGCTCACATTTACAAGGTAAGCCTCGATGCCACGGTTGTGGTTTGTGACGACTGCACTTCTGTTTAGCTGTGTGTTAATATTTGTACAATAATTTCGGGCTAGTGAATGAGCGAAAGAAGGCCCTTGACAAAAAAAAAGTGGCCAAAATACATGCCGTGGCTCATGTTGTCCTATATGCACAGCATGGAAAAGCCACGGACTTGGTGGGAAGAAATAGTTTTATATTATGAAACTCACACAAACGTAAATATATTAGAGCAGGCATTTAAGCAGGTGTTTAATATTTATTAACATTTGTCATCTGTAAATGTTGCAGAAGTTCAAGCCGCGGCCATCGAGAAACCGGAAATCAGCGTCGACGCAATCGAGAAATTCGTCGGCGAAAAAGTCACGCGGGCCCTGTTGAGCGAGAACCGAGACGTCGTCGAGGCTGTCAAGGTGCTCAAGGCCACCCTGAAGACCTTCGGCGATGACGACAGCGAACATTTTTTTCCCTTAATCATCGCGGCGGTCACTGGCATCATCAGAGTCATAAATTGGACGAGATAAGGTGTGCCGCATCCACTTACCAAAGAGTAGAGCAGACTAGATCGTTGAATATGGGGCACGCACCCATGCTGGGCGATTTGCTAAGAACCAGATGGTCTTTATATAAGGATTCTTTAATAAAAGGTTAAAATTAGTCCACTTAAAAGAACGAAGAACAAGAAGCAGAGCGATGGATAAGCTGTGAACTTCTTCGGACGTTTTTGTTGTTTTCGAAAGGAATAAAATCAATGAACGCTCGTGCAAAAATATGCATGTCATTTGATACAGTTGTGAGAAAATAATCCACCACCCAATGCCTGTAGCAGGACACTTTCTCAACACATACATCTGCGGTGTTGATGGAGCCACGACACGGACAACGACTGAGTTACAGTTTCAGCGAAAATTAGAACCAGATCGAAGGTCTACTGTGCCCGTATAGATATAGGAAAAACCAAGATGGAGGACGCTTGAGCGTCGCCTTCAAGAGCAGATCGCGATAGCGTCATCGTGCCTCACGTGCATCGCCCCCTGAACGATGGCCCACTTCGGTTCTCGGTGCATGCCTCAATGGTTCCGTAGGGGGCATCTGTGCGCGTAACATTGGCCGTTTCAGTTGAACGCAAGCGTAGTTGCCAAGTGCCCACTACACCACTACGCGTACGTTCCAACCTAAGCAGCTATTCACTTTGTTGATGTTTCTTCCGCTGCTGCTCATTAAACATGCCTGAGCGCTTTGGAATGGATGGATGTGTAAGTCAATCATCCATCAGTCAATTCCCTCGTTTTGACTCCTGGTGCGATTCTACGGTTCACCGGGAACATCATGTTATGCGTAGAGGAGACTACTTCCCCTACATGACAATCAAATTGTATATTTTTTTCAGAGAAAGAGAGACAGGGGGACATGGGTGGATGATGAATAGATGAAAAACTTTTATTGGGGTCCTGAAGGATTCCACCGCCGTATTATAGGGGTAGGATCACGGGCCGCTCCCACGTAGAAACGGGGCGCGCAGCCTCACCGCCGTATGGGCGGGGGACACCTATGAGCTGACGTCACTAGGCTCCGCCTTTATCCCGCGAGGAATATGCCCCCGTGTGAATACCCCTTAAAAAGTAACTTATGCTCTAACGTGACCGCTCATTTTACACTAAGCACATCGAACGAAGTGGTTTTTACGCTGCGATGATGGGCGCACCCTACGTAACATTCGTTAATGTATTCCTCTGAATACAGTTTGCTGTATTCTAGAATTTTAGTACAGTCTGATGAATCAAAGAACAGAGATGTAATGTTTATTATACTGCTGTTAATTCAACCTGACGCCTGTATCATAAGAGTACATATGTAATGTTTATTGCTTTGTTAGAGAACTAGATAGCCCACAGTGGAAGCACAATTGAAATTCTACAGAAAATTACGCCAGCATATATAGGGTACATTTCCAAACCACTTTCGAGACCTGCGGTGGCTTTGTGGTAGAGTATATAGTGAACTAGTAGAGTAGTTGATTCTCATGCAGAACGCGTGGTTTCGATTGCTGATGGTATCCTGGTTTTCATTCTTTTCATCCGTCGGACCAGCGCTGCCGATGTCTGTTTTGCTTAACGCCCCCACTTTAAATTGCCAACGTCTGTTGTCGCCGTTGCTAGGTAGATATAAAATGTGAGTCATATTTGTGGCGGATACCCGCACACCATGGCCCGTACTATACCGGTGCGCTAAATGTTTCTGAAGGAAAGGTTTCGACAACGGAACAAGATTGTCAATTTGTTTCTGACATGACTAGACACTCAAATTCGTAAATTCGTAATTAACACCACGTTAAAGTGGCGATAACTAGAGCACACAGGCGCAGTCGGCTAGGCAGGCAGGCAGGCACGTTCAAAGTTTCATGTGTTCGCTAAGAGATGGATCTCATTTAATATATGAACATCAGCCATGACAATAAACTCGCTCGCTCAAGCGCATTCATGACACACATGGTCCGTCCATTTATGCCTCGCAAAACGACATTTTTTTTTAACTCTCTACGAGGTAGTGAGAGCGATCGCGAGCAGACTACTGCTGGAAGAAGTCTCATGTGTACACTAAACGTGATAAATGATAAAAGAAAGAGTTATATTAGCTTTCAGTGCATACATTCCAATTCAAAACTTGGTAATACTTACTTTCGGTAGTGCACAGAATCACATTTATCCGTTACCATGTATATCTACAGTGTACGTACGGTGAAGTAACAGACCACTTTTTGACTCTAAATGTACCATATTTTATTGAAATGAAAGAGGTGCAAGTGGAAATAGGCCCAACCTTCCTTAATTTCCTACCCTATGGCTCCAGCACCTACTGCCATAGCGGGCGTTAAAATGGACGCCAGTATAGCCGCGATGACGAGTGGAAAGCCCTGCTCATCGGTTTCGTCGCCTGTGCTGTCGACTCCCTGAAGAGCCTCGATGAGCTCTTCACGGTGTTCCATGATGGAACGGGAAAGTGTCTCGGTGAGCAGCTTCCTTGCATCGTCCGTGCTCGTTGCTGGCTTGCTCAGCGTGGCCGCATGGATTTCTGTTACGCGGAGAAAAAAAAAACAACAGCATACTTTTGAAGTGCCCTCACATTCAAGTGAATGCATAACAAAGGGTAAAAGAATATTTAATGAGAAAATAATTTCCAGATAGTGCAATGAGAGAATCATGAAAAATGTGCGTTTTATGCTTTGACGGAATGTTCGCAAGCGCCAAATTCTGCTGTGAAATTAGGTACTGTACACTCATCGCCATATATGTGCAGGGCGGGAGGGGCGAAGGTTTGTCGCAGTCCCCCCCCCCCCCCCCCCCGCCTACTAAGTCGAAGTATGGATCACAAATTGCGCCCATCCCGTCTTAGGTGACTAAGAGGGGGTGGACGACTTAGGGCAGCAAAAAAAGTGTAATTCACTTATAATCACTCAAGAAATATATCTCGCGCTTTGGACTCACTCGGATCGGACTCTGTCTGACTCACCAAAATTTTCCTGAGCCGAACTCGCTCGGACTCACACTGACGAAAACTTTCTCGAACCCCATTCACTCGGTCTCATGGCTCAATTTGAGTCCGAGTGAGTCGACTCATGAGCCCGTTAGCATAAAATTAGGTTTTTCGACTTAAAATGTCAATTCTCTCTAACACCAATATCTCAGGTAATCGGTACATTTTTGGCGCCTTTTGATATAGTACATTCGAATACGGGTTTAAGGGCTCGCAAACCAGTGCGGTTATTTGTCTTCAAAATATGGCAACAAAAGATTTATTCATCACGAACTTCACTAGAAGAGTTGGTGACGTTGGGGGGCTCAAGACACTCCCCTACGTAATCCACGCCTCTGATCAATAAATATTGAAATGGTCTATGAACGACACTGCTTTGGAATACGTGTGAACAGACGTAAATATAAACGTGAAGTCTGGTAAGGCTGATATTAATGCTGCAGATCAGTAGATACGACTACAGGCGATGAACATAGGCATGCCCTTCCCCCATTTCGCTCGCCTATGCTCATCACAGCAGAAAACCTGATTCAGTGACGGAGTCCGACTATAAGAAGTTTAGCAGATAAAATTCGAAACCTGCTTGACAGTTACTACCATGTGAAGGAAAGGCAAGAAAAAAAGTTAACGTCTCCATCGGAGAAGAGGAGACGGATACAATGAACTGTGTTGGTACTTACGGCACAAATGGCCCAGAATGAGGAGACCCAAAATGACGTAAGGGCGCATGACGAGTGACCTGCGGTTGAAGAACGTCGTGTTATGCCGGACAGCGAATCAAGCGAAGGAAAAACAAAACGCAGTGCAAATGCGAGAGTTTTTTCTGGAATCTGTAGTTTTACAGAATTAGCGTGGTGAATAAATGTAAAAAAAAAAGGTCGGCCTCATCTTCTGTACATTTTATTTTTGCGCCTAGGAAAAGTATTCAATTCCCTTATGAACACACCTTAAATTCCTTATTAATATAAATTGGTCGCTCTTCGTAGCCCATATATTTTGTGGAATTGTAAATAATGCAGCACCTCTGTGAAACATGCGAGATATAACAATACATAAATGCTATCAATAATATTGTTTTTAAAATGCATGCCACAAGTACAGTGACTATTAGAAGTCGACGTAGCATGTGTTTAACAGATAAACATTTTATCACCGGGTGATAAATCGGGGTAAAGTTCACGGAAGTATCATTAAAAACTGCTATATATATAAATATAGCTATTTTGTTTCCGAAGACACGAAGCAATTCTCTTGACTCTGTCTCAGCAAGAGCATTTTGTGCGAATTGGCCGCAACGTAACCACGTAAACAGGAAAGACTGATCTTACCTGCGTCAAACTGATTGGCGATGACGAAGATGGCTGGCTTGGTTTTGCTTGCGTTCCTAGGACCTCGAGGCAGCTTTGTGATGTTCGCGAAATGTATTGGGCTTTTATAGTCGCAAGCAAGTGGAATGTTTCTGACGCTTGGAGCAGTAGAGCAGAAGATAACATCACACAATAGGCTTTATAGATGACATTCCCTCACAATCGGTTGAAGCTCGGAGATAAAAAGACAGTGAATTGGTTAATCAAGGCTCATCAGCGCCAAAGCGGATGTATCCAGACTGTATCACATATGCGAATAGAAAAAGGTTTAATTAAGCTTTTTTCTTTCTAAAACTAAAAGGCGGTTATAAAACGTATTCCTATTTTAGATAGTATTATCACATAGTATGCCATAAAATGCATAGGCGTGCAGTCCACCATGGCGAAACATGGCTGTGGTACTCGCCTGCTGAGGTCATGTAGCAGACTGGGCCGGTTGGACCATACTCACGAAGGTCAGCGCAAACAGTACACGAAACACAAGAAAGAAAATCCACCACACCAGGGATTTCTATCAACTGGATGTTTAACGAGGAAAAAAAAACATGGCACATATAAACAGTAAGGAAATTAATGACAAAACCTTATCACCCACGGCCTATTTATACGTTTTTGCACGAAAATTTCAGTTGATAGACAGAGCTTGTGTCGTGTGTACTTTCTAGTATTTTGTGTTCTGTTTGCATTGGCCACCATGACCCGAAGATCGTGAGTTTGATTGCGGCAGCGGTGGTCGAATTTTAGTGGTGCCCAAAAAGTAGGGGGCGGTGGGCTGTGCGATGTCTACGCGTTGAGGAACAACCAGATGGTCGAAATTTCCGGAGCCCTCCGCTATGGCGTCCCTGATAATCACATCGTGGTGTGGAGACGGTAAACTCTAGATATTTTAGGGGCGAAGCTCCTTAAGGTGTGGGTCTGCACATCCTTCGATCTATGTAGCAGTAGTAGATAGGCACCGATGGCACATACCCGCTCTACAGCGAGTATGTGCCACAGGGGATCCGAGATGGCGGTAGTTGTTGTAGTGCGCACTAGATGGACGCACGAACGGATTGACGGACAAATGGATGGACTAGCAGACGGCCGGACGGACGCGCGGACGAATGGACGCACGAATGGACGGACTCACGGACGGATGGACGGACGCTTCGCCCCTCTCATCATCATTCACTCCGTGGATATGCTGTCATTTTTTTTACTATTGCATAGGCGTGCACTTATTGTATGTATACATGTACGTGATGATGGCATAATGCGTAATGACCGCCTGTTCTCGACGGCGGCAAGGAAATATTGGTCGGAGGTGAAGTTTTTCGGCAAACCTTCATTTATATATGCTTGTCGTTATCCCGATTCACTCTATCGCGGAGCGAGGCCGAACAGTGCAGCAGGTGAACGAATCGTTCCTTATCATCCGTCGCACGTTGATACGCGCGGAACTCGCTAACAAAACATCTCGAGTGCGTCATCAGTGCTCCCCAGGGATCGAATAAGCCGGAACGTCTTATAATTTCTCGCTAAACTATGATATGATTATTAAAGATTTCACCATGTTTTAACTCAGCGCACAACGACGCGGACACAAGAGAAGAAGGGACTAACCGCAGCGCTGAACCACAACTGAAAGTTTATTGGAAGACATAAACGAGAAACAGGACACTTCAACCCCCACACCTACCTGAACGGCAGGTCAGCTGAAACTTGAACAATGAGCAGTTTGTCCCTTCTTCTCTTGTGTCCGCGTTGTCGTGCGCTGAGTTAAAATATGTCCAAGTATTGTCACCAACTGGCCCAGCTTCCGGTCCTTCTACGTCATGAGAGACGCCGTACATCGGAGGGCTGGAAATCTCGACCACCTGGTGTTATTTAACGTGCACTCACACCGCACAGTACACGGGCTTCTACCATTCCGCCTCCACCAAGACACGACAGCCGGGATCGAAGCCGCCATCTTCGAGTCAGCAGCCGAGCACCTTATAGCCACTGATTCACCGTGGCGGACGAAGCGCCTTATCTGTCCTTTTGTATGTGGAGTTTCACAATTGGTACCGTTTTGTGGGCTCAGACCACGCTTAGCCTGGAACATGATGGAAATGCACACGAAGGCCATGGCTGCCGATTTTCAAAACGGCTCACAATGCTAAGTGATCAATGCGCATGGAAAATGATAAAGTTGACCCAAATAAGTTATCGCAAGTTGCCCGCTAATATAATGGGAGATGGAAATGCTTACTGCCGACTTCTCTTTGGCACGAGACAAAATTTATTTCGGAAGTCACGACACATATCATCGACCTATTTATTGGGTCAGAATGGCAGACGCAATGTCCTGCATGCTTAGAAATCGATGTCGCTCATGGGGGCAGTATTTAGGGTGTTCTCTGCTTGCTTCATGTCTTTTTTTTTCCGAGGAAGATGCGGTGTAGTTCTACTAGATAGGCTTGGATATTACCGCGACAGAGTTAAAAAGAGCTCGTTCCGCAGTAGCTTCAATGTCGATGTCGGCGTCGGAGGTTATGAGCGAAAATTTATTTCCCCCTTAACCGAACCGAAAAATAAAGAAAGATGCAAATAAAATGAATGGTTCGACTGCCAATCTAACCCCAGCTTCTGCGCGGCAAACTGGTGTTCCACCACAGATTCATGCTATTTTTTTATACTTCTTCGAGAGAAAAAAACACTATATGAATGCCATGCTGTTTGAAAGAGTCTCCTTAACGCATGTGATATTGCGTGCAGAAGCGTAGGATTGCGCCAGGCGTTCCAACAAGTGCATGGCACAACGAGAAGTAGTTTTAAAGGTCATAGCATTACAAAACGCTCACACATATTTCATTATCATCAGCTGCAAAAGGTGGGCAGACGCGTATGTATACGTTCGCGTGTAGCCTTACGGATGCCTTGAATGATTGGCAAACTGCATGGTATGCAAATCGCAAATGCAAGCCTTGTTTAGGATAACTTGAAGCGGCCATTGTGGCGCGCACAGTCATGCGCTTCCTTAACGCATAGGCATGCACCGAGAACAGAAGCCAGGCTAGCCATTGAGAAGGCGATGCGCGAGATGACGTCATCGAGTTCTGCTTTTGAAGGCGAAGCTCAAGTGTCCTCGACATGTGGGGTTTAACGTCCAAAAACCACTATATGAATATGAGAGACGCCGTAGAGGAGGGCTCCGGATATTTCGACCACCTGGGGTTCTTTAACGTGCACCCAAATCTGAGCCCACGGGCCTACAACATTTCCGTCTCCATCGGAAATGCAGCCGCCGCAGGTGGGATTCGAGCCCGCGACCTGCGAGTTAGCATCCGAGTACCTTAGCCACTAGACCACCGCGGCAGGGCCAAGTGTTCTCGAAGTTGTCGTTAGTAAAACCAAGGCAAACATTGTGTTGGCGACCCCCTCAGTGCCATCTGAGTGCTGGTCTAGCCGTGATAGTCAACAACGTCTCTGACGAGGCCGCTTTGAGGAACCTGCAGGATACTAACAACGAACAAAGAGAAAGAAGACGACCGCAAGTCTGTAGCATCAAACCACGAGGAAATCCGTACGAATTTTTTAGAAAGAAAAGCTTCTTTGTTGCCGAAAAATTCGTCCTAGTCTGGGCTTCAAACTGTGAGCCAACACCTTTCCGGGGTGGTCGCTCTACCAAATGAGCTAACAAGGAAGCTTGCAGTTGACATTGCGCGGGCGAATTCATCGACAACTCAAAGCACATGGACACAAGTGTTCAAAATTTTCTCATTTGCAACGAGAAATAGTTTACAACAACGTCAAAAACTTCCTTTTTAACCGAATGAAAAAAGTAGCCTTTGAAATGAGGCTTTGTCTGCTGTCTCTTCAAAGTCCAGGGCCTGAGGAGAGAGCTAGTGACGAGGCAGAGTACGGAGAGAAGTGATATATATATATAGTTTCAAATCCTCAAAGTACGTGCTTTCGAGCGCTTTCCCCCGGAGATGCGCTAGACATGTTTCCCACAACAATATCGTAGACCTGTCAGATTTGTTCCTTAATTCGTACTCCTTTCTTGTGGCTCGAAGCAACGCATCACGGCGCAGCGTATGCAGTAGCGTTGCAGTGGCGCTTCCCCATTGGTTGCTCGCATAACACCACGACTGGCGACACGCTATCTCAAAACACCACATCTTTTACACCACATCTTTTACAGAGCCAGCGTGACAGCCAACACAGTGAACACGAGGAATGCAAGACGCCGTCCCAAATATCTGTGCACAACTGAAAAAAAAAATTACTTCGTATGATTTCCGAAGTGAGGCGCCATATGAGGGGCTCCCTCCCCCAAGACAGCAAAACACCAGCGAAGGCTAAGCGATGGGCGAGAGCAGGGAAGGGGCTAAAGGAGAGGGTGGTGAACGGCTGAATCGGGCGCATTCGGCTGGCATTGATAAAATAGAGGAGGCGTTGCTTCAACAACTTTAATTCCAGCAAATGCCAGCCTGCATATCCGTTAAGTTTCACTTCATATATTCGAGCACATTGGTGCCACCAGTCTATCCACTAGGCAAGCAGGAAAGCCCTCTCCCGATCTAAAAGGACAACTGATCGTGCACTCACACACGAGTCACAAATACGTCCGAGAGATAACTGAAGCCCAAGCTATCTCTCGCAATAATCTTTATGTTTCGCCGGTACAATGCGAAATTCAATAATAGGTGCGACACCACATTCCAAGCAATCTACCGACGAATGGCCTGAACTATTCTTGTTTTTAACATTGAACTTGTGTTCGCGAAAACGATCGTTAAGGCATCTTACCCGTCTGACCTATACATTTATTACCACAGGTCAGCGGAAGGCCATAAACCACCCCTTGTACACAATCCACAAAAAAACTTTGTGGTGATGCTTGAAGCACCTGACAGCTGGCCTGCGGTGCGGGTCTGTAAACCCATAGCGTTTCCTAAATATACACTAGAAAGACACTGGCGCTAGTGTCTACGGGAGCTGCAACGCACGGCGCTTCAGCGATCATGGGAATGATAGGTAGTACACGGATTTGTTTAATCTTCGTACTTCTGGCTCCATGTGTGTTCGCGTGAATTGGAGCTGTTTTCTCACGAAACAAAAGTCGGCCAATGTTCAGCGGTTGCGCTTCACTACCATAATATTTTAGGCTTAGGTTCAAAAGGGTTAGTTCTTTATTTAAATACAAAACCAAAACACAGCAACAAACGGAGCCACAAGTGCCATTCGCTACCCGCAAGTACAGAGATTAAGCAAATCCATGTCTTACCCATCATTCCCATGGTTGCTGAGCGATCGCAGCGCCAGTGTCCCTTCTAGTTAGTTTTATAAAACTCTATGAGTCAAGTTACATTGAATAGACTGGTGGCGCCACCGTGCATTGATATATAAGTTGACGTTTACTAAAAATAAAATTATTGGAGTTAGCGCATTGTGTTGTTTCTATGTTAGCGCTCAATATGTCGTCTGGTTTTCATGTACACATGCGAGAGCTTGGTTCGTAGGGATGCATACAGGCATAGATTGTAAATGTAGAATAATTTATTGTACTGAAAATAATGCCATAGAAGATAGATTCAGCCTTTCTGAACTGCTACGGCCACACCGGCTCCAACAGCTCCGGATATCGCCCCTCCGGCAATGGCCGTAATTAAAGGCAGCAGGACTGGAAGGAACTGCTCGTCCGTTACGTCTCCTGTGGGGTTGATTCCCTGAAGAGCCTCGAGCAGTTCTTCACGGTGTTCCATGATGGAATGGGAAAGTTTCTCGATGAGGAGTTTCTTGGCATCGTCCGTGCTCATTGCTGGCTTGCTCAGCGTGGCTGCTTGAATTTCTGTTCCGCGAAGTGAGAGAAAGAATGAAAAACGCAGTGAATTAGGCTTGCATTCAAATCAATGCGTGGAAGGCGGTCAAATAATATTGCATAAATAAATAGCATGTCAGAACGGCTATTGTTACAGACACGCGTTTTATGCCTCAATAACGACGTTGTATCAATAAAATAATGCACGGCTGTACAAAATTCTGGCGTAAAATAGCGCACTGTACTTTGCTCGAGCCAGATAGTCTGATTAATTATCAGTGCAGAGGGCCAACAAAGAAAACGATGCGCTTCTACAAAACAGAATTTCTGAAATGAAATATACGGCCGTACAAAAGTTATCCAGACTTATATTACAATTTTATGAGCATCGAATTATAAGCCACTCAATTTGACGCCAATTATTGTCCTACTACGTTGGCTTATCTCACACTAGCGCATGGCTTTAATAAGCTATACAGAAACAAAGGCGAATAACGAAACCTGCAGCGGATCTAGAACAGAAAATCAAGTGAAAGGCAGCAAAGACGTTAATATGTCCAACGTTTTTAGATATTGGCAGTATCTAAAAACGTTGGTATGTCTAACGAAGATGAGCCAAAATCAATTATTGTACTTACGGCACAAATGCCCCAGGATGAGGAGAGCCAAGATGACGTAGGACTTCATGGCGAATTAACGATCTGTGATGAAGAACGTCATGGCAATCGGGTGAAAAAAAAATGTGCCACACGTTTCAACGTTTTTTTTTCTTGCAATCAGTAAATCATGCTCAATTAGTCTGGTGATTCACGCAGAAAGAATTATCGGCCCCCCTTCTTTAGATGTTTATTTTCTAGATTAGAAAACACATTGTGTTTCGCGATGTACCGCACCAAAATCTCTCATTCATAAAAGCTTTTCGCTCTAGCCTTGCTATACATTCTATGGTCTTATTGTAAGCAATGGGGCGATTTCATATAACAAGATCAACATGACATTCGAATATTGGTTTGAATGGCAGTGTTTACAACGTGCATGCCACCAACACAGCGACAGCATTGATATTAACCACTAAACTTTTTTGTTCGGTCAGAGCGTAAAGCAATTATTCCGACTAGGTCTCTATATTAGCATTTAAGTGTGACTTAGTTGCAAGGTAAATATATAGACAGAAAAAACTTTGCTTACCTAAAAGTATGTCGTAATGAAATCGGTGACGAAAATCGTCGGCTTGATTTGATCTTCACCCTGAGAACTCGAAAGCTGCTTTGATGAAGTACAGGGAGTGGGCTGGATTTTTATAGCTGCGAGCAAATGGAAGTTTTTTTGCTGTTTTATGCAATTCAGCAAAAGATAACTTTAAACAATAGCCGGTGAGCATGCATCCTCTTTAATTGTGAGAAGTTCAATGATACGAAATCTCAGGTGCCCTCCCGACCTACCGGGTAAATGGGGGCAAGTAGGGGATAGCGTGGACGTGCTGGACATACTGCTTTTCTTTGCTTCTTTCAATCACTCCTTTATTTATTTACTTCCCTCTTTCCTTTCTTCACCTCTTTTCTTTCTTCTCATAACAAAATTTCCCATCTGGTCGCAGGTGTTCAGATTCTACAGGAAAGAAAATGATTTTTTCACAGAAAGATGTTTGTGGTGCGGGACCAGCTTCACCCGCAAGTCCCATCTAGCAGTGCTGGCTGCCTTCCGTTCAAGGCGCCATAGGCGATCGCCGCCCTGCGTGCCCGGTCGTCAAGAACATCGCATGATCAAGGCTAACGATGGAAGAAACTTCTGGCGCTGTTCCACGCTGTCTTAGTCAAAGAAAAAAAAAAGGGGGGGGGGGGGACCGGGTGTAACACGGAAGGTTTATGTTAGTGTGGATCAGTGTGAGTTTCTCAAAGCACCATGGCCACTGTGCGAGACCTTCTGTTTGGTGCATTTTACGGATATACTGCTGCATAGATATGCGGCCTCTTGGGAACCATCTACATTTTTACCAATACATTGATTTGTTCTATTGGCGAAAGACAGCACACTGCAACACTTGGGGGTCACGGTTCTTATCATCAGTCGCACGCTTATACGCGCGGGACCTGCCAACCCGGCAGCTCGAGCTCGTTATCGATGCTCTCTGAAGGCAGCGATTGCGCCGACGCGTCTTTTTTTGTAATCTGTTATTGCGCGTGGAGTTTCACAATGGTACCATTTGGTGGGATGCACATGGGAACCACAAAACGCACACGAGCGCCGCAAGATGGTTGCTGATTTTGAAGAATGCTTGCATTGAAGCGAACAGAAAAACTGATAAGGTTGACCCAAATACGTTATCTAATGCTGATGTAAGTCGATGGACATTACCAGTTGCAAGTGTCTTTCTCACCATCACACATCATTCATTCCGGATGTGAGGTGCATATAGTAGAATTATTTACTTGGTCAGAGATGTAGATAGGCAAAGTATACCTGCTTGGAAACCGGCGTCATTTACTGGCTCAGTTAGGTGAATATATGTAGCCGGCAACATTCATTCCAAAGATGCGGTGCTTCCAGAAGATAGGCTTGAAGAGTGTAGGCGGGCTCAAAGCAGTGTTTGCGCTTTCGACAAACTCAGTACGTTGGGAGTGGTAGTTTGGCTGTGACTTTGAAGGAGTCTTCAATGTCGACTTTTACGAGCGCATAATGAGGAACGTGAAGGCCACAGAAAAAGGAGACAGGGAAAGCGGTCCACAACTACCTCAGGTCAGCCGGCGGGCCCATGCGGTTGCGGATAAGCTGAGCCTATTTGCCCCGACTAGGCGGCTAAGCCGGGAACACGAATTTGTTGCGTCCTGCTGGACCTATTACAAGTTGTTTACATTCATTCATTCATTCATTCATTCATTCATTCATTCATTCATTCATTCATTCATTCATTCACTCATACATTCATTCATTCATTTATTCATTCATGACGTCATTTCCAACCGAGCGAGAGCAGTTGGCTTTGAAAGGCAGAGCATTGAAAAGTTAGCACTGCCCCTATACAGGGCATCACTCAGGGCCCAAAGGGAGAGGAGGTGACTCTGGTGCAGAAAAGTTCAGTGAGTCGCCGGATTTTCAAATCACAATGGTAACATTACCACCGGCTGGGTACCACGTACACAAATAACTTTTTACACAACGTTACTCTGAGGGAGAGTCCTCGGTGCGTTTGTGGCCACGTATATAGATTAGGCCGCGACCGCTTTTCTTAGTATGCCTTCTATACTACGAAAAAAAAAAAACAACGATCAATACTCGATTTCTCGAACTGCAATTCACATGAAAATCTTATAGATAGTTTACATATACATTGAAAACACGCATATGTTGGCATTTAACAAGTTTCCCAAAGCGATCAATATTGTCGTAAATTATTGAGTAAAGCATTTACTATAGCGACCGCTCTTGAATGTGTATGTAATGTGACCATCTTGCATTAAGCGTACCTTCGTACTTGTGTAAAGTTATTCTGTCCCCGTATCGGAAGATCATGCCACTTTTTATTTCTGTTGCGTGACGGTTTTTACACGTAGGCTCATTTGTTAAAATATTGGTGTCCATTTGACTGAATTTCGTTTGAACTTCAGTGTTGTGTGCCTGGAAATATATATATCAAAACGTTTATTTGACAAAAAGATAAAAAAAGAGAAAAAAGAGAAAAAAAAAAGGTACGGGGAGCTTGTGGGTGGGGCCCTATTCCAGGGCTCCACTGGCTTTAGCGGCCCGCTGCGCCTGGTCGAGGAGCGCCGGTTGCACCCCCCGATCCTCGCTGGCGAGCAAAGTCTCCCACTGCTCCCTTGCGGAAATTTCGCCGGCTATTTGCGGCGAGTTAATTTCGGTTGGCCTTTTCCGACAATCCCACGTTATGTGGGCGAGAATGGGCCGACCTCCGCACCACGGACAACTGTCGCTGTACATCGCAGGGTGAATGGCATGCTTCAACGAAAGATTTGGATGTGTGTTAGTTTGTATACGGCGCCAGTCATAAGAATTCCGGCCGGGTAAAGCTGTGTGTGGTACACTGTACCTTCGTCGCTCAAGCCGTTGGTATTCAAGGATATCTCGCGGTAAAAAAGGGCTGTCGTCGGAGTGGTAGGCCACTCGGTTGGTCAAAGCACGAGCTGCGCCATCCCCTCTTTCATTGCCATCGAGTCCTGTGTGACCCGGGCACCAGATGATAGCATGGTCCTGCGTTAGGTCCGGTCCTAATAGGCGAATGGTGTTGTGTGGTAGTCTGCTCGTGAGAAAGAGTCTACATGCGACCATGGAATCGGTGAGAACAAGGGACGATCGTCCCAGAATATCCTTAGCTTTAATAGCAAGCGCGATAGCTAAAGCCTCAGCGTTATTCGTGGACGGGCTCGTGCCGTGGCGCAAGCCGAAAGGCCTTGACCCGGGGCCACTCCTACGACTGCGAGCGCGTACTTGTTCGTGCCGCATAGGGCGCCATCTGTGTACACCGTGTCCAGATTGTTCCCGAATTGCCGCTGTAACTTGCGAGCTCGTGCACTCCTACGACCTTTGTGATATCGTGGGCTCATGTTTTTCGGGATAGGGGATACTAGAATCTTTTCATGTAGCTGTTTAGCCATGGACTCCAGTTCCTCTCCCGCATATTGAGGACGAGCTGGGTAACCTACACGGCGTAGCAAATTTCTCCCTGTAGTGGTTAAGTTAAGCCTCTCCCGTTAAGAAAAGAGCACCGCTGCTCATATTTATTGTGTATACCAAGAGCTTCGAGACGTTCTGTGGACGTTCCAAGCGGTAGGCCGAGAGCCGCCTTGTACGATGTTCGTATCAACGCATCTAGGGCCTTTAAATCGGTTTTATTGATCTCCTGGAAAGGAAGAGTATATGTTAGCCGACTGAGGACAAAAGCCTGAACCAGCTGGAGCGTCTGAGGTTCCTTGAAACATTTTCGGTGATAGGTGACTCTATAAATCATACGGGAGACCTGCTTCGCCGTTGTTCTGAGAGTTTTTATTGTGTGGTCCACTCGCTTGTTGCTTTGCAGCCACAGTCCGAGGACTCGCATTTTCTGTACATCTTTTATCTTGTGGTCTCCTAGAAAGAGGTTGACTGGCTCGTGAATGCGGTGACCTCTGCCTCGGATTCTAATAAATTCACATTTATCGAGAGCACAGCTCATTCCGCTCTGATAAGCGAAGTCGTCAACAGTGGTCACTGCGTCTTGTAGGATTTGCTCTTTTTGTCCCAAAGAGCCACTGTTGGCCCATAGGATAATATCATCCGCATAAAACGCGTACCCTAGCCCTGAAACGCTGTGTAGTCTTCTTGCTAAGCGTCTCATGCCGATGTTGAAGAGAAAAGGAGATAGTATCGCCCTTGTGGTGTGCCTCTATTGGGCATAGGAAACGGATCTGAGCGTGTGTTGCCTAGGCCTATTGTAGCAGTGCGAGAGGTTAGAAAAGAGTGAACGTAGTCATATATCTTTTGCCCCAACCGATGTCATTTAGCTCGGATAAGATGAGCTCATGGGACATAGTGTCAAATGCGCTTTTCGAATCAAGAGCTACGACGAGATGTTCTGCACCAACCGTGGTATTGCAGAGTACCTCTTCCCGAAGTAGAAGGAAGACGTCCTGCGTTCACAAATGTTGGCGAAATCCAAACATGCTTGTTGGAAAAGGTTCCGATCTTCAATCTAAGTCATGAGACGTTTTTGAATCACCTTTTCGAATAGTTTGCTAAGACAAGATGCTAATGATATTGGTCTTAAATTTTGTAGGTCGGGTGTTTTTCCTGGTTTGGGAATAAGAATAATTTCGGCTTCCCTCCAATGTTGAGGAACCACGCCCTTCTCCCATACCTGTTCATTAAAATACCGAGTAAGTTGTTCCAAGTGTTCATCGCTCAGATTCCGAATCATCGCGTTTGTTAGCTGGTCAGGTCCGGCGGCAGTAGCAGTGCGCTTTGCTGCTTGCGCGGCCGCGAATAGTTCTGCCTTGGTGATCGGTGCGTCGAGCACTGCGTTTTCCTGGCCTTGGTATGCTAAAGTGCACGGGGTAGTTAGTGAACGCGCCTATGTACTTGTCTCGGAGCTTAGCGAGGATGGCGTCATCTGTTCCTAGGAATTCCCCAGCGAGCTTCTTAAGAGTTCTGTTTGCTGCCGTTTTGGCTTTACCAGGTTCCATTATGCTGCGCAGTATTGCCCACGTCTTGGAGGTGTGTAAGGTTCCCCGGAGTGAGTCGCAAAAAATTCGACCAAGCTCGGCCGTCTCCAACTGCTGCACGTAAGCAGTTTGCCCGCTCAGATA